AATGTGTATTATGGTCCAGGAATGATACTAGAGTCTTTTTCTCATTTTATATATATGATATACACACATACCAGTCAAGATTAAATGAGACAAAGCCTCCCTCCTCCCTCCTCCCTCCTCGGGAGAGGTTTAACCGTGTGAGGACTGGAGTTCTCCCGGCTGCCGTGACCCCTCGTCCGCGGGGCCGGTGCGGGCGCCACGCCTCGGGTCCGTCACGAAGCTTGAGGAAAATCCTCCATGACGGGGATGGGGAAGCTGGTGATGCTGGGAAGGGGCCCTTCTGCGGTTGCTTCTGTCCGGGCAACTTGACCGCCGTTTCGCCCTTCCGCTTACCTCCGCGAGACGAAGGGGAGCAACCTTTCTTGGTTAGAAAGGTTTGTTTCATCCTAGTTTCTGTGGCACTGGCCACTGTACAGTTTGTGACTGCTCCAGTTTTTCTAGTCTTTAATCAGCCCCACATTTCAGCTGGGCTTTGGAGAGCTACTGACGTCTAAAAATATCAGGGGAAAGGCTCTAATTGAAAATTCCTCCGCACGCACACTGGGAAAAATATAAATGGACATGGATTAGAGACCCACTTTTAATTTGCATATGTATCATCAGCAATTCATTGTGCATGGTTGGCTTGAATTTGTTCCATTTTTTTCTCTCCTTGCCCATGGTAGAGAACACGAGTTTATTTTCTTTGGAAACTTACTGTGATACCTTGTGCTTTGCCTTGCCCTCGGAATACACGGTAAATGTTAACTTGTTGAATATCGATTGTGAGAAAAGGGTCGTAATAGGCACTTTCCTCACGACAACCCAGTGAACTGGGTATTACTAGAGTATATCCATTTTGGAAATGAGGAAATAGTGGCTCAAAGGGTTAATTAAATTACTCAAGATGCAGCACACAGTAAGTGGCTGGACAGATCTGGACCCCAGAACTGACCCTCTGCAGGGTCCATGCTCTTCCCAATAACATTTTACAGTCCCCATGAAAAAGTAAAATGGGCTGATAGTAATTATCACAGATACTGCTGAGCGGTCGCTATGTACCAGGCACTATGCCACATGCTTTCCATATGTTATATCAACCTTCATAACAATTCCATGAGACAGGTACCATTTTTATCCTTATAGCTGAGCAAACAGATTAGCCCAATATGCAGCTAGAAAGTAACTGAATCAAGACTCAAATCCAGAGCTGCCTGCTATAGGCAGAGATTTTAAATAAGTAACTGGGGAAAACTTATAACACATTCAGAGATAAATAACAAATATATTTTTAAAAATTTTTATGGAATTCCATGTTTTGAGATTTCATTTGAATGGTTCAAAGTAGTAGGTAAATTATGGTTATTTATAGGAGGTTTACTGAAGGAAATTGATTTTGAGCTAGTGTGGCTTTTTGTTTGTTTTTGTTTTAGAATCTGTTCTAATGATTAAGATGATATTATATGTGCTGATAATATGATCCTTCACATAATGAGACTAGCAGACCAGTTAAAGAAACAAAGTAAAGAACTATTCATTTTGAAAATGGCTAGGGAACTTTCTTCCACTTTCCTAATGTTACCACCCAAGCAAAACACCCCTTTCTCAGAACATACAGTAAGTAGTCAGTTGGTCAGAGCTAAAAAATCACCCTCAAGTTTTCACAAGCAACATTTAATCATGGCTGATGTAGTGTTGGAGAGGCTAGTGAGTTATTATCAGAAATCAACCCCCATTGGGAAAACCATTAGTAATGATTAACTCTAAGAATCAGTTCCACAGTTACAGGCACTCTAGTGATTTAATATATTCAGAGTCAGCTTTTCAACTCTGAATGCCTTGTTTTTACTTACGTCATAGCTTCTTGTCAAAGAGGACAGAGGTTTGAATGAATAGAAACTAATATGCAAATTAAAAGTGAAAACATTCTTCCAAAAATCTGAAGAAGCAAAAAAAAAAAAAAATGCATATTTTTTAAACATCCAGATTTCATCAAGATATTTTTGCATCTGTGTAGAAGTGGGAAAAGCCAGAAAATCTTGGGAACCATTTAAACAGGCCACATCTCAATTTGAATGTATATAAAATTCAAAAGTTGTATCTGATGGTCTCCACTGGCCTTTACAGTCCTAACATTTATGCATATGATGAAATATGGACTTAGTCCATTAAATTATATGCATAATTGAAGCTAGAAATCAAGTAAGGAGATAGATTTGAGATCAATTTCTATTCTGTTTTTAATTACAAAAATAAAAAGATACTATCCTCTATTTTTTTAACTGAAACCTTTTCCATAAAAATCTATCTTTACTGGAGTGCCTGGGTGGCTCAGTCAGTGAAGTGTCTGCCTTTGGCTCAGGTGATAATCGCAGGGTCCTGGGATCAAGCCTGCTTCTCCCACTCCC